GGGGATGAATGATTCTGCTGATAGCAGGAGTGGTTTGGGACCTTCCCACGTGAACCACTGCTGACAGGAGCAAGAGTCTGGATGATAACTGGCCCCCAAACCTGCCTGTTACAACATCTCAAATGCCAAAGTACAATGTGAAATTTTTAATTACAACACCTACTACGTGGAGCTCCAGTGCTTAGCTGGCTCTGAAGCAAGAGCAGTTCCTACTGCTGTCAAATTCCCAGGCTGAGCTTTGGAGACACAGGCAGGCAACTACCTGGGGAATGAAACAAATTGGAGCTTTTTTGTAGAATTTTTTCAGGAAGTTTGAGCTCAGGTTAGACAGTTATGTGGCTCTGCCCATGACAGCTCAGGTAGCAGGAATGGCTGAGTCAGAGGCAAGGTGGACACCTCCCACAGGCAAAACACTGTTGGAACAGCACCAGCAAAAATCCATTATCTGTTTGTCAGGTGCAAACTCTGGGCCTGCTCTCTTTCCCACATTTAAGCCTATTCCCATATTTCCCATAAATATTTCCCATATTCTGCAGGGTAGCACAGAATCCCAGAATGGTTTGGTTGGAAGGGAACCTAAAGAACATCTCATTCCACCCCCTGTCAAGGGCAGGAACATTTGCACTATCCCAGGTTGTTCCAAACCCCATCCAGCCTGGCCTTGGACACTTCCAGGGACACATCTCCAGAACTCCCTCTTCCCTCCCACCACACGTTTTCTTCATCTGCTCTATTTGTCAGCAACAGCCTCCCTTCATCTCCACCACCAGTACTGGATTTAGTTTTTTTCTGATATTAAATCATTTTTACCTTTTTGTTGCTAAAATTGCCTGAAAATAAAGTTTGGTAAACATGCCTTGAAATTTTAGGACAGAACATGAAAGGTAATTACACTCTGCATAAAATGCTTATGTATATAAAGTGCTTTAAATGTGTTTTATGGGCTTGGCAGAACTCAGCCCCTTCTCCAGAGCCTCCATCCCATTTGGGAGATCTGTGTTATTTTCCTGCAGTAACACTTCACTTTTCCTGAACTTTTCCTGATGGCAAATGGGAGCGTTTCTGGCAGGAGCAGAGGAGCTGGGGGCTCTCTAGAGTGAAGTGACTTTCAGAATGATCCATGGGACACCTTGTGCCTCACAGAGCATGACAATACCTGCCCCAGCCTCCTCCCCCCGCTGGAGAAGGTTCCAGCCAGTGATCCAGGGAGCTGATACAAAGCCTGCTGCCTCTGAACATCACCCAGGCCCTAAAGAACATTTTAGTGTGCTGTTTGTCACCCATGGGCTTAGCAGGGAAAATGCAGCAAGACACAGCCAACAGCACATGCTGCTTCCCACTTCCATCAATCAGGGCAGCAGCCAAGGCCAGAGCCACTCATGGCATGGCCATGACACGAGGCAGGACAAGTGTCACCACTCCCAGGCAGGCTCAGGCCATCCTGGTTTCTCCCCAAAAAGAGAAAGTCAGGCTGCTCTTGCTCCTGCTCATCTGGTGGGTCCCACCTATTGCAATTCCCTGTACAATGCTGCTGCCTGCACAACAACCATGGGAGAACGACTTTGGATGAGGACCTGGGGGGACAGGACACAGGGAATGGCTTCCCACTGCCAGAGGGCAGGATTAGATGAGATATTAGGAAAAAATTCTGCCCTGTGAGGGTGGATAGGCCCTGGCACAGGTTGCCCAGAGAAGCTGGAAGTGTTCCAGGCCAGGTTGGATGGAACTTGGAGCAACCTGATCTACTGGAAAGTGTCCCTGCCCATTCCATGATTCCATAACCACATTCAGCTTGAAATGTTGACTCGACTCTTCTTTCAAGTCCCAGCACTGCATTTTCTTTTCTCTTTCACAAGCCAGTCATTTAGTTGTGAATATTTCTGGCTTTTTGTGTAAAGGCCCCTCTCTATGAAACATCTCAGCTTTCACTTGTCAGGTTCCTAGCATTCAGAGTCACAAAGAAATGCCAGGAAGTGGAAACTGAAAATCCATCATAAAAGGGCAGAAATCAAACAATAAGCAGAAAGGATGTTAACATGGTTAAAATGAAAAACAACCTACCAAAATCCTAGTTTTCTTCTCAGTTTAACCCACCGTGTGCAGTCTAAGATGTGGCAGTGATGATCCCTGGCCTGTGCAGGAGAGGAGTCCCTTCCCCTCAAAACAATTCCTTGGCTTTTCCTGGCTCCCTTTAAGAGCTCTCCTAAATCCCCTGTCCAGCTTGAAAACCCTCACCAAGAAGTATCTATAACCTCTGTAATCCCTTTTACGGTTTTAAAACTGAATTCTAGATAGATGGACCATTCCAATCTCAACACAAAATTGGCCATGATAGGAAACATGAGATTTCACACGATTTGTTCCAGTCTGTGCTGTTTAAAGGAGTGACTGGGAGCGGGGATCTCACTGCATCAGGGAGACCAGGCTGCTGAACATCTGGAACTGCCAAGCACAAAAAATTGCAGACAAAAATCAGTGTAATCTATTACAAACCTCCATGAGGTGGCTGGACTTCACCCTGCCAAGCAGAACTTGGACTAACAATCCTTATTTTGGGCAAAGCAGGGTCCACTACTCACAGCAAGAAATTATTTGGGATTTTTTTCGATCTGCAGCCGTCTCAACCATTCAGTTGGCAGCAGTTGTGAGGTCTATGCACCGCTTGGCACGTTCAGGAAGAGCCTTAAATGAGGCATAACCTGATGCTGACCTTTAGCCCAAGGCTAAATCCTACTTTGGATGCATAACACACCCCTACAGAGCTCCCGGGGATGTGACAGCAGCCCAGCTATGACCAGGGGCAATCCCACATACTCATCCTAATTTGCTCTGTGAGCTTTAAAAAAGCAAATGATTTTTATGAAACAAAGGAGGGTTACACTAAGCAGCTGCCTGTTTCCAGGCCTGAGTAACTAGGGCAAAGTTTGATCCGTTTCAAAATAGCGTTAATATTTTTAATGACCCATAAGCCCATTTTTGGAACAAAGCAAGGACTTTCTCCTTTCTGCCTTAGTTTCAGGAAAAGCCCAAGCTTCCTCCTTTGCCAGCTGAAAAATGTAGCAGTGGAATAGTCACCCCATGGACTGATGTCACCACACAATGCTGCAGTCACTGGATGTAAACACAGCTTTCAAGGCAATGAGGTTTTGTTGTATAAATAGAATAAATTAATTTATTAAAGGCAACTTTTTTCTTTTTCTTTCCTAGTAAAAAATTGAAGCATTTCACTCTCTTAATTTTTTACTCACAATGTCAACCAGCCTGGCAAAAAGCCAGGAAATCCTCTAGGAATAGGCGAATGTCTATGGGATACAGGGAATGATTTTGAGCTGTGGATGGGTGGCAGCAGTAGGCAGCTGATCCCACAGAGATCCACTTGGATCCATGGACGCTTCCAGATTCTCGCAGAGAAGCTCAGGTAGAGTTCATCCCATCAGTGACACATCACATTTCCCGGGAGCAGGGCTCAGCAGCACAGGCTGAGAAATGTGCCTAAATCCCTTGCTGGATGCAGGCTGTACTTCCCAGGATGATGCTTTTTTCACTTCCATCCGGCAACATTTGCATTCCCTCCTCCTGCTCTCGGGATGTGCAGGGAAGGCACCAGAGCAGCGTGTGGACGTGTGTGCAATTCCCAGCACGCACGGAGTCAGGGCTGCCACGTCTGTCACACGCTCCGCCAGACAAAGCTGAGAATGGCACCACATTCCCTGGCAAGTTTTCCCTCCGCTTTACCCAAGGATCTGAGGACCTTCCTGAAGTCTAAACACGGCACTGATCAAATGAGCTTCACCCATTTTGTCCCCCCTCCCTCTATCCCAAAAAACCCATCACCGGATCAGCCGCTCCGTTATCCCAACGCTTCCTCCAGCATGCCTCCGAACTGTTAATCATTGCCATGGGAAATCCTACGCTCATCTACACAAATTAGAATGTAATTTGTGTATCTAAACATCACAGTTCGGCTCACCCGCTCTGCCTGAGGAGCCGGGATACCGCCGGCACCCGTGAGTGATCTAAACGGAATTACGACTCCGGAGGAAACGGCAAATTACTCTCCTCAAATAACGGGAACTGGCTGGATAAAATCTGATTTCCTACGGAACAGCGTGTCGGTGGGAGTGGGTGAAGCGATGCATCACAGGCAGGTGGAGGTGGAGGAGCCCCTGGCTGGGTGCAGCCCACCTGTGGGAGCAGCCTGGGCTCAGGGGAAGCAGCAGCTGCCGGAGGATCCGGAGGGAGCCGAAGCTTTGCAGGAAGACACCACAGAACTTCCTCCGCCGTGCCCCCGCTCCGCTCCCCGGCACTGCTGCCCGGCTCCCCCGGGACCAAGGGCTGGGAGGGGATGGGTTTAAAATGGGCCCTGTCTGGAGGGTGACTCGACAACTAAATCCTACAGCTTCCAGAAACGGGGGAAACCCTCCGGAGGGGTGACAAGCCAGGCTGGCCTTGTGGTTCTGCCTGCGGAAGGGGGTGAGCGGGATCCCCGCTCCCGGATGAGGTGGGGTGGTGGCTGAGGTGGCATCCCCCATGAGGGGCTGAGGGGACAGCAGGGCCGGGGTAAGGGCTGGCAGGGCGAGCCGGAGGAGAGCCGCGGCAGCCCAAAGGCTCCCCAGGGAGCTGCCGGGGCTGTCTGGCCCCGGGTGTGTCAGGGGGTCCCGCTGCAGCCAAACCGAGGGCGGTGACCAGCCCAAGCCGGGGACACCTCGCCTCAGGAGGCCCCGGACCGAGCGGCGCCCCATCCCGCAGCCCCGGTCCCCCTCAGGCTGGCGGGGCGGGACGGGCGGACCCCAGCGCCCTCAGGGGTAGCGCGGGGGTGTCCCAGACACACCCGTGTGTCCCCTCGGCACCGCGTAGCCCCCCGCCCCGCCCGGGCCAGCCGAGCCCCCCGCCCGCGTCCTCCCGCCGCAGCCCCGCCCCGGCGCGGCCCGCGGCCGCCTCAGGCCCGGCATTGTCCGCGCTCCCCCCGCTCCCCCCCGGTTCTGCCGCCGCCGCCCTACCCCAGCTGCTCCTGTCCCGGCGGTTCCGGGCCATGGCGGCGGCTGCGGGAGGCTCCGTGCGCGCTCCGAGCCGCGCTGCGTCTGGCGGGGCTGCGGCGGCGGCGCGGGGCGGGCGGGGAGCCGGCGGCAGCGGCAGCAGCATCCCCGCCCGCCGCTCGGCGCGGCTCCGCGGCACGGCACGGCACGGCACGGCACGGCACGGCACGGCACGGCACGGCCCGGCACGGCACGGCACGGCACGGCCCGCCGGGGCACCCGCCCACCGCACCCACGGGGCCGGTTCCAACGCTCGGGGTGCGCGGCCAGGGGGGCCCGCGGGCGGGGCGAGCGGCACCGCCGGGGATGCCGATACCCACCGGGGCGCTCAGCACGGGCGGGAGGATCCGACAGCCGCGTTAGCCCTGCCAGGGGCAACCACACTGGGGGCACCACCACCAGCGGACGTTCAGGGGGGTATGGCCAAACAGGCTGGTCCAACATCCAGGTTATTCCAGTGGGATCGTTGGAGCATCCACAGCTGGAGTAGCCAAACCCGGGGGCACTGGATACACTTGGGAGGCACCCACACGCTGAAGGCATCCATCCATCCCAGGGCAGGGCACCTGTCTCATCTGGGGCGCTGAGCACCCCTGTGGGCACCCACCCACAAGGGGCCATGGCTGGGGGAACCCGGCACAACCAGGATGTGTGGTGAGTGCATGGGAACACTTGGGCTGTAAAATCACCACAGGGATCCTGCCCTGGGCTGGGGTCAGGCAGGCCCTGCTGCCCCAATTCCGCCTGTGCAGGCAGCAGGAGACACTCACTGTGCATATGCAGATGCAGCGTAAGGGCTGGACTTGGACACCTCTGGGGAGGATTTCAGTGCAGCACAGTTGATAACGTAGAATCCCAGAGTGGTCTGGGTTGGAAGGGACCCTGAAGCTCATTTCATTTCACCGTCTGTCATGGGCGTGGGTACCTTTCCTTTCCTTTCCTTTCCTTTCCTTTCCTTTCCTTTCCTTTCCTTTCCTTTCCTTTCCTTTCCTTTCCCTTTCCCTTTCCCTTTCCCTTTCCCTTTCCCTTTCCCTTTCCCTTTCCCTTTCCCTTTCCCTTTCCCTTTCCCTTTCCCTTTCCCTTTCCCTTTCCCTTTCCCTTTCCCTTTCCCTTTCCCTTTCCCTTTCCCTATCCCAGGTTGCTTCAAGCTCTCTCTAACCTGGCTTTGGACACTTTCAGGGATTCAGGGACAGCCACAGCTTCTCTGGGCACTCTGTGCCAGGGCCTCCCCACCTTCACAGCCAGGACTTCTTTCCCCATATCCCATCTTACCCAGATGAAGCCATTCCCTGTGTCCTGTCCTTCCATCCTTGTCCCCAGTCCCTCTCCAGCTCTCCTGGAGCCCCTTCAGCTCTGAGCTCTCCCTGGAGCTTCTCCTCTCCATGTGAGCATTCCCAGCTCTCCCAGCCTGGCTCCAGAGCAGAGGGGCTCCAGCCCTCAGAGCATTTCCGTGGCCTCCTCTGGAGTTGCTCCAGCAGCTCCACATCCTCCTCATGTTCCCAGAGCTGGAGGCAGCACTGCAGGTGGGGTTTGTCACAAAAGCAGAGTAGAGGGAAATAATTCCCTCCCTCAACCTCCTGCCCACCCTGCTGGGCATGCAGCCCATCCTGTGTTTGACTTTCTGGGCTCCCTCTTGCCCACTCCATGTGGACCACTATGGGAGTGCACACACTTAAAACCTCAGATACTGTTTGCCCACACTTGGATGCCAACAAGTGCTGGAATCAACCTGCTCTGAAGCCACAGCCCAGTGCTCTTTGGAAGGCACGTGTCACAGCACTCAAAGATCATCTGATGAAACTGTGGAAATATGGTAGTTAACCAGAGGGACAAAATCTGGCAGGATGGGAAGGGAACTGAGCCCCAGATTGTATCTGCATGAGGAGTTTTGGGCAAGTGCTGATTGGTTCTGCTGCCTCTGGCAGTAGGGAAAGCCAGTGGCTATCCAGCTTTGTTGGATTCACAAGAGCCAGCAGGATCTGCTCTTCACTCCTGACAGCAGGAAGAACACTCAAAAACGAACCAATTTTCAGTTCCAGGCATCTGATGTGTACCAAAGCCAAGTGTTGTTGTGCTCCCATTGATATGCTGATACTTAATTCCTGAGTGCCTCCTCCAACACTCTGTGACTGCCTCCCCTTGGCCTCTTCCCTGTGTTTACAGCATCAGAAGGAAACATGTAATTTTGGCTCTCTCACGTGGCAGACAGCTGAATCCTGCCCACCCCTGCCGGGCACTGCGACCACAAGGAGCTCACTCGGGTTTGCAGAAGCTGCATTAGTGTTTTTATAAATAATCCCTGAGATTGCACGTGCCTGTTGATTCCTCAGTGCTGCAGAGAGGAGACAGGTGTTGTGAGGAGGGGTTTCTTACGCTGGACACTGTCAGAGGTGTTCAGATAGGTTGAAAGAGGAGATTAAAAGAAAAGCAGCTGGGAAATGGACAGGGGAGGGAAAAAAATAGAGGATGGAAAAGGAAATGTGTTAATTTGAAAGTCTAAATAAACTGAGATGAGCTCAGCTCCTGTTTTCTCATTCGCTTTGAGAATTGTTGCTAAGGTCAAGCTTGTACTGCCCCATTTAGTGGCATTTTCTCCTTTTCTCTTGCCATTATGGCACGTGGTATCCCAGTCAAAGAGAGGCAGGGAGGTTTGATCCTGTGCTGTGCTGTGGGGATTGTCTGCATGAACTCCCAAGGCCTTTTCCTGCATTATTTCCTATGATCCCAAGTCAGGGGGCCTGATCTTTTTTTCCAGAGAGTGACTCAGCATTTGTTGATTTTCATCCATCCCTTCTCTCCACCGATTCAGCTTTCCTTTCTTTTCCCAGTTGCAAACAGCCCTTCCTGGGAAGCATCCTGTACATTCTTGCTGCCAGATCACAAAGAGCTGATTTTACAGCAGATGTGCTGAATGGTTGCGGGCTGGAAGAAATCTTGAGTAAAAATGATGCTAAATGGAGGAAAGGCAAAAAGAGAAAATGCCCCACAGAGGGAGAGCACAGCTGGTGTTCAACACCACGAGACCCAGCGCAGAAAAGGCCCCGGAATTGGGAGAAAACCTGGATTTAAATCCATGCTGCATTCCGCTGGCAGGAGCCGTTTCATAATTTACCTTGATTCGATGTCCCACTTTCCCAGGCAGCATTTCCAGTTGCTTTTCATATCCCCAGCCCTTTGCAAACAGAACTCGGGTGCGTTGTGCAACACTTATGTAAGAGGTGCCAAAGGGACGCTGCCAAGGCTCTGCTCTTGCTCAGGTGCCACCACGGGCTCGCTGGGACTTGCTGCTGAGGAAAATGCTGCCATCCTCATGAGTTTTCCTTGGACAAGGCGCTGCCTGAGCCCCTGGGTGACAGATCTGTTCTTGCAGTGGTTATCTGAGGGCCTGGGATGTGTTAGTTTAGTTTTTATTATCACTTCTGCCTTCTCACGCTTTGCTCTTTCACTGCTTCTGCTGAATTGCATGGGAAAGTCAAAGGGATCTAGATATCGAATGTGTCTGAAGAGCATGGCAGGGGGTTGTCTGGCAGAGATTCCTCATCACTGGTTTCATTTCTGAACCCTTATTCTAGGGTTAGGAGGCCTCAATTCCTTGGAAATACCAAAAAGGGATAAAATGGGATCCGCTTTTTCCTCAGTCCTGAAGCTAAAACCTTCCTAACATCTTTCTGTTGTTTGGTTTTGTTTTTTTTTTTTTTCTTCCTGTAATATTTTAAGTGAGGCAGATCTGTGTTGCTTAGGAAATCCTGCTATTCCTGCAGCTCCCATTTCTCACCCCAAATTGTGCTGTGACCGCCTACATGGGCTTTGCAGCCAGAGGAATTATCTTTGCTGCTTCTGTAAACACGACTGCACACTAGGGCTGCACAGAGGTATTTCACTGTGGAGGTGACAGAATTCCAGCAGTTAATTAAATGACTTGTTTAATCAATCAGTGTGGAAGTTCTTCCTTCTGGAAGATGCTCCGTAAACTAAAGGAGCTACTTAAGAATAAAATAAACATGGAGATGAAGAATCATCAGCCCAGGCTTGGTTTCACCTCGGTGGCTGTGGATCATCTGACTGTGATCCTTTTATTTCTCTTTACTAGGAAAAGTTTTTTTCCCCAGAATGTGGTGGGGCTCCAGGAGAACTCTCAGGCACAGGGTGGGATTTTTGGGGTGTCTGTGCAGGACCAGAAGTTGAACTGGATGATCCTCAGGGTAATTCCATGATTCCACAATTTAAAGGTCAGCAAGGCAGAGGATCTCTCCTAAGCCAAAATTCCCATCTATTTCCGATCCTGTTTTTCATTTGTCCCCTCTACTGCACTGACAGGCAGATGGACACTATTGAAAACATCCTTCCTCACCAGCCTCCTTTTTTGTTTGCAACGTGGCTTTAGTGAGCCCAAGCCAAAATCCATGCATGCCAAGTTTGTTTCTAGGATTTCCCCCTGAAGATACACCTCAGCCAGAAAAAAGCTTCCAGCTCCTCTTGGCAGAACCAACCAAATCCACCTGCCTGGATGATTCAGCAGGACACTTGCAAAATGTTCCAGCCAGGTTGGTGCACCTGGAAACAGGGGAAGCAGCCGGGTTTCCAGGCAGTGCTCTGAATTTCCCTTTTTAATGCTGTTTTTCATGGAAATGGCCACATTTTCCTGCATCCTTGTGCTGAGCAGTTGCTGTCTGGTCTCACCTCTGCCCTTCTGTGCGTGCTCGTGGGAGGGAAGGGCATCCAGCTGGTTTCCTTCCTTTGAATGCAAAGAGCACAATCAGCTGCAAAGTCTCCTGAGATGCATCTGCGTAAACGGGGTGACACAAATATAATGTATAGCCACAGTGCCCCTCTTCCTTCCGTGAAAAACAAATCCTTGCACACAGGATTGAGTTGTGTCTTGTTCGATTCTCCTGCTCCTGCAAGGGACAAAAGGATTTTCTCTCCCTTTAGTGTCTTTTCTCTCTTCCCACAGCATCTCAGCACAACCCCTGGAGAGATCCTCAGTCTATGGCAGGCTGATGCTTCCCTGAGCAAGTGAATTCCCAAGCTGGACATAACAAACATCCAACAGGCCTGGATGTCTCCTCCTTCTCTTGCCCTTGGCTGTGTTCTCTCCATCCATCTT